ATAAGTGTGCTACACTGAGTCCCGTAACACCAAATCATTTTTATTTCAAGCTAAATTTACCTGGTCTGCTGAAAAGCTCTTCCTGCAAGTTCCACAATTCAAAAATTGACTGTAAAGTAAAAGCTGAATATTAAATACCATTGATCTCCTTTAACTAGCTTTCTTCCAGAGTGATGATTCTGATGGACAAGATTGCAAAGCATTATAATAAAACATACAAAAGAGGCTGAACAAGAAAGTTGGATATCTCCAAAAATAAAGTAGCATGTATTCTTTTACCTGTGTAGAACTCCCATTTATAGCAAGAATCACTACATATTTTAAAATAGGATTATGTCTTAATTCTCATGAGTAAGGAAATCAGACCCATAAAGCCAAAGACATTCTATCCAGGGCAAGATTCTGGTTTCATCTGAGCAGTTGCATATGACTCAAAAAAAAAAGAACGATCCCTGCGTTTTAAGGACCTAACAGCACACCTCCTTAAGACTGATGCTGCAGCACATGCATCTTCCAAAATGCCTGCTAGAAAAATATGCATGACTTAGTTGTTTGCAAACTGTCTGCATGTCAGAGTGTTGGCATGTCTGCTTTATTCATTTAATATAATTGAGCTGATGCATTTGTATTGGCACTAGTCATGTTCAAAATTCTGCAGAGTCAGGATTCTCTTTGAAATATCATCCCCAGTTTTCCACATACAGAATATTTGTCTCTGCTGTTTTAACCAAAAACAGCCCTCTAAGCACATGCCTTTCTAAGGCCCAAGAATAGGACAAAATAAAGTCCCAGAATCATTGTTGCATAGAAAGCAGTACAGTGCAAGAAAAGGGCCATCCCAGAGCTAGTTAAAAATCCCTGATTCTCAGGTCCTATGTAAATTCAAGCTTAGCTAACACCTAACCCCAAGAGACTAGTTGAGGATGGATGGAGCACACCATTTTCCACCTACTACACCTCTGATATAATGCCAGCCTTCAAGGGGATGGATAGTTTGGATATGCACCAAACAAAAGTGCCCCTGAATGCCACAGGAATGAAACAAAGGGACTAGAATGAAAAACAGAAGCCAGCCCCATGGCGGCATAGGGATCAAATAAATAAATAAAAACTCTATCTGCTCCACAAATAAAGGCTGTCTTTCATGAGGACAGGAGTATCCATCCTGCCTTCCTTCTTTTTGTTGCATGCCCCTTCAATGATCTTTAGTGCCAGTGAGTCCCACAGTGGTTCCCAATTCACCATCATTCTTCCACAGATGTAGATTGTGAACCCTAACTCATTTTTTCACTGAGGATTGCCCTCTAACTGTAATAGATGGAGGGGCAACTGGTTGGTTTGGGGTGGGTTGGTAAAGAATCTTGGTTTTCATGAAGCTGATAGTGAGTCCAGTCATTTTATATGCTTCACAGAAGTGATCAAGAATGACCTGGAGCTTTTAAATTAAGCACACACGACACAATCATCAGCATATTTGAGATTGGTAATGAACATGTTGGTTATCTTGTATTTGGACTGTAACCAGTTGATGTCAAAGAGATTCCTGTCCATGTAATACTGGCTGCTGACTCCAGATGGAAGTCTATCGGCAATGAGATGCAGAATAGCGGTGATATAGATGGAAGAGAGTGCTGGTGCAATCATACATCTTTGCTTGACTCCAGTTCTAATAGCAAAGGAGTTTGTTTCTGAGCCATTGCTTAGGATTGTCATTGTCATATCATTGTGAAGACGTCTGATAATGGTAAAAAATTTTGGTGGACATCCAAATCTCATCAGGATCTTCCATAGGGCCTCTCTTTTGATTGAAACAAACTCCTTACTCAGTCTAATGAAGGCTATGTAAAGGTCTCAGTGTTACTCATGGTGCTTTTCCTGCAGCTGTTGAGCAACAAAGACCATAACTTTTAAACCTCTGAATGTTCTGAAATCAAATTGGGACACAGGTAGTCTCCTCACTGAGGAAAGTGAGGCTATTAAGGAAAATGCAGGCAAGGATCTTCCCAGGTATGAACAGGAGTACATTACCATGATAACTGCTGCAATCCAATCTACCAGTATCCTCCTTTCTTCTATATGGTAATGATTCTGGCATCTCTCAAGTCACTGGAAATCTGTTCATATCTTCAGATTTTCATAATAATGATGTGTAGTTGGTGAAAGAGCATTTCAGCTGGTATTCCATCAGGACTACATGCTTTTTCATCTGCTTAGCGGTTCTGAAGTCTTCTTGATAAGTTGGTGGAGCTGCAAGGTGTTGGGGTGTTGCAGAATGGCTTTGATGAGCATTTCCCCTACCTGAGTCACCACTTCTTCCAAAAAAATAAACACAGATGATGGCATTCAATGCTGGATAAAAATCCGCCAGCAATGCCTTTGGAAGTCTCCAGAATTGTGTCTTTGATAATCATAACATCAGGACTCAAATCAAACTTCTTGTCTACCAGGTTGTTGTCATTCCCACCCCGTTGAATAGGAGTGAAACTTGGACGACATACTGGAGGCACCTAAAAGCTTTAAAATGTTACCATCAGTGTTGTCTTCAGAAAGTCTTCCATATCAACTGGAAGGACAGAAGGATGAACACCAGTGTTCTGGCTCAAGCAAGCACCACCAGCATTGAAGCCATGTTCATATAAAACTAGCTCTGCTGGACAGGACGTGTCATAAAGATGCTTGACAACCATCTCCCAAAAAAGGTCCTATATTTCCAATTCATTGATGGTCACTGCTCTAGGGGTGGGCAAAAGGCGACTCATGGACTCCTTGAAGACAAACCTGAAGGAATGCAATATAAACATCACTACCTAAATTAGGAGACTGAAGCACTGAATCATCTCCAATGGCACCATGAGGTACAACAAGGCATCAGTCTTTCTGAGCAAACTTCTCTCTCTGTGGAGGTACATAAACAAGAAAGAACTGTGACCTGACATCACCTGGATCTACTCCTCCCTCCTGGAACTTTTTGTCACCTCTGCAGTCAAACATGAGGATCTCAAATCAGCCTCCTCAGTCATCTCTGGACTCACTGATGACTTCCCTATTTACTGGAAGACTGCCATCCTCACATCAAGGGAATGCCAACGACAACAAATTTAGTTTTTGAGCATTTCTCAGCTCCAGTTGAGAATTTTGTTTTCTGTCATTCATGTGTTTTGCAACGTAGACATGTTTAACTTTCTCCTCAGAACCCATTAAATTCACCTCTGCTTTAATAGCTGAGAATTCATCATGTATTGTCTGTCTCAAGAGAATGGATCTGTCTATAGTTTGTTGTCAAAAGGGATTACAACAACTTGCAAATCATTTACATTAGAACTGATCTCATCAAAAATTAATTCTAGGGCCTAAAACTCCTCTTCAGTTTCCACAACCAACATCATTCCTCCTCTTCTCTTTGCCTGCATCAATGAAAGACTGAATCTGGAAAAACCATATGCCCATTTTGTCATTCATATATTTTTCTGTGATGGAATCTCAACAGATATGAATGTCCCAAGGCCAGCAAAGCCCTTAATCAATATATTTACTTACAGAAGAGATGATGAAGAGGACGATTATTTAGATGGTGAAGAGGATGATTACCAAGACAGATGCATTAGAAATACTTCCTGATATGTTGGTGCCCAGAGAGCCTTTAAATACATTAAGATTAGGTGCAAAATGAAGTTTGTATCCCTTTTCACCAGTTCATTGTATCCTACCATTCAGAAACATTTTTGAGTATTCCAGACCTTAGTTGGAAAAAAGAACCTTCCTTAGATGTGTATTCAACAGGGAGTCGTCTGAGTACACAGGATTTTATACATCGTTCAGCTAAGTCAGCGATCCGTATGCAAAATCAAGCACTCAGGGACACCATGTGGATTTGTGACACTCTTTGGGTTACTTTGTGTCTGTAATAAACCAACGAATGGATTCAATTAATTCATGCAAGTGCTTTCTCATCTGTGACATATATAATATGGCTAATCTTTATTTAACAAGTAGCAAAAGGCTAATATGATGCAAGTTACAAATGTACATTAAGAAATCCCCCTTAAAATTGGCTGTTTAAAAAGATGTGAGAGAACCTTACAGAATGACAATCTAAAAAAAAAATCTGGACAATACTGTATTGAAAAAATGTTGCATGTATTGATTAATTAAATAGCATTTTTGGTGCTATTTTTGTTGTTAACAGTCAGGAACAGAAAATGAGAATAAAATACTTTCTATAATGTGAAAAAATACTTTCTATAATGTATTTCTTGCCTAATCTAAGTGTACTTAAGCTAATGGATGCTGCAGTTTGTCCTGAAGATTATTTCCAATACATAATACAGGTATTGTCAAGTGTTTGGAGCTGTGAACAGGGAGTTGGATAATGGGCAATTTTTAAAACTCCAACTATATTTAGGCATTTCAGTAGTATAATGTCTTGTAATTCACATAGCAGTCAGACTGTCTGATAAAGAAAATTGCGGAATACTTAAGGAGAGGGAAGGACACAATTTACAGATTCTATAATCATCAAAATTCCTTATTTGTGCGGTCATAACTAATGCTCCCATGAGACAAGGTTTTTTGCAGATGATATCTTTTATTGGACCAACTACGTGGAATAGACTTGTGTTGGGGTAGACTTAGACAAACTTTCGCCCGGAGTGTTTTCTGCAGGTCACTCCCATGACATTCCTCCTCTCCCAACCAATGGCAAACTATAATGCCAGTCTGACTGGGAAACACCAGGATGAACTTCTCATTACAGTCTGACTACCACTACAGTTGGCTTTAAACCCACTCCACGTCCTTGTCTGCCCTGGGAAATTTCCCTACTTCATTTTTTATTTTTTCATGCTGACAGAACCAAGAAGTGTTGGGCTGTCCAAGGTATTTTATCTTTTGAGGTTTCTGACCCAAATAATTGCTTCTGCACACGGCCAGAATATTTCCAGTCGGAAACTCAACTCACCAGCTCTTCACATCCTCTGGGTCAATCTCATTCTCTATTGTTAAAATATGAGGGCTGGTTACAAGACCTGCTGCATCTTGGTCTTGTCTCTTATGTACTTCTCTGTGTAACCTCATTTTTCCAGAGAGAAGGTCTGGTTCTGCCCATGCTTATAAACGCTGCAAAGGTTTCTTGGGTCCAGAAATTACTTCGGAAGCATTTTTCACTCAGCAGTTCTTTTTTCCATCAGACAAAAGTACCTTTATGATACAATGGCCACTGAGCCATGAACAGGGAGAAGTGTCACTCATAATGAAGATCTTAGGTTTCAAAGAACTGCCACATATGTTATATTTACACTAGTTAAGTGTGGCCCTCAGCCAGCCCCAGCCACATGAACAACACTCTCCCATCTATATCTTACCTTATGGCCTGCCTTGCTGCTGTATTCACTGCATTTCCTGTTTCTCTATCAGAGCCATCCTAAGAATATATTGCAGATTACTTCTCTTTTCTTCTGGCTTGACTTTCATGACAGGCAGCAGAGACACAAACTGGGGTGAAGAAGAGGCAGAAGTTAGGACTGAGAGTTGTAGGATTGTGGCTGGCAGACTTCCTGCGCACGTGGAACAAAACACACTGGGGTTGTCCGGGAGGTCGGTCTGAAGTCCACCAGACCTTCTGGGTTAAGTTGAACTGATGCTGGGGGTTGAACTTAGAGTTTTTTAGTGGAAGTTGGTATTTATGACTTGAGGGTGTCATTAAAATGGATCCTCCATAGCAGGGTAGACATAACCCTAGTATCCCTAATCCTTCAGAGTTCAGTACTTGGATTTTAAAAATATTCTCAAGTGATCAGTATCTTTAATTGTTATTACTGATACTTTATAAAATGTCCAAAAACAACATGAAGCACCTTACAGAAATCCAAAACCTAGGTCTTTGTCCCAAGTCATTATAATCTTTGGATCTGATCCTGGACTTTTTGAAGGCAGAATTATAACTGACTTCTGTGAAAGCAGCATCAGCCCTTAATTTTAGACATAACACAAACCAGGTGAGTGAGTGGAGGAGTAAAATGGCGAAGCAGAGCAAGGCCTATGTGGCAACAATACTGAGCACAGACTGCAATGTTCATGTTTATTAAGATTCTTTTTTGGAATAAGTAACAAATAATATTTAAGAAGCTGTTACTGAGATTCCAGTATTCATGGAAACAAGGTGGTTTTATTTTCCACTAAATTCAACATTTGTTGATATGCTTCCTAATTTTCAAAGATGATTATTTTAAAGCCCCAATAAAGCTGGACTGAAAGGAGTTATATGACTGAAAAACTGAAGTTGTGTATGAGTTCGCAATATTGCTTATTTTAAATTCCTTGATATTAAATACACGTGACGTGTTGTTTCAGGATAGCATGAGCAGAGGTTGTCGAAAGCTGAAATGTAGTAACTTTAACAAGGCTTCTATTTCAATGCTGAGTAAGACTGACAAAACATTATTTGATTAGCATCCTTACCAAAATCAAATTTAAACTATGGGATAACAAGATGGAACCAGATGAAATGCAAAATGGTTCTGTCCATTTCAATCCATAGTTAAAGATCTACAATAGGAAAGAAAGAAATATTAATAAAGAAATTTATTTTTTTACTATCTGTGCTATTTAATACCTTCATAAAATACATGTTTGACATTTAGTCAAGAACTTTTAAAACACTTAGGGAAAGCTATCCTTTGACCTATCTGATTTAATTACAACATTCTAAATCTGAGCTCAGAAATTCTTATGTCATAAATTTTGGTTTGTTTTAAAAAGGGCATAATCATATGGTTAAGAAAATAAGTTATGCTCACTTGTAAAATTGTTTCTTTTGTGTTTGCTGCATAGTATTTAGTATTTTCCTTTGTACCTTTTTTTAATAGTTGAGCTTTAAGAGAAACTCTGAAAAACAACAATGTTAGAATTCAAAATAAAGTGGAAGATTTTATTTTCAGGGTCACAAGTACCATAGCGAGATTTCTCTCTTAAACAATGACACTTAGTATCTCTGTAGTTCTATGAATACTTTTGAAGTGTCATATTAAAACCAATCTCTTGGCCTTCAGGCAAAGAGAAGCAATTAGTCTTGGAGTTGTGAATAAATAAAAATCCATTTATATACCCGTCCTTGACATGTACCTTGCAAATCTTAGAAACTTCATCTAGTGGGAAAAGAAATGGTAAATCATGAACACCAATACTAATCATATTGCAATGTTGCTTCCTAAAACTGTTTAGTTTGTATCAATCTTTTAAGTATTAATTCATATGTATATATTCATACATATTGAACACAACAACAAAGAAGCATCCACACACTTGAATGAGAAGAAAGAACTGAGTGAGTGCACATAGAGATATCCAGTATACCTTTAATATCTTCTACATTCATATGGGCAAAAAAATCCTCTCAAGAACATTGTCCTTTTCTAGACACCATAAAAACAATGCCGAACAAGTTGCCTGCAATCAATATGCTTGTCTTTTTCATCCTCAGCTGCTATTGTGTCTTTGCTTTGATCTGCAAACAAACAGGAAAAGATCTGTATTAATCACACCATGTATTATCATGCAGCACAACTGTATGGCACCTTGTGGAGATGGGTTGGGGTTGAGCGAGGAAGCAATGTCTACTTGTTGTTCAGGAAGATAATTTTATAAGCTCTACTTCCCCTGTACTGTGCCTTGATTCAGGAGCATTAGCTTGTATGTTGTTTTCATTGCTGCTCAAGATTCTTACTTGTCTTTTACAATTGGTGCTGAGCAACCTACAGATTAAACAAAAAATCAACTTGCTGAGTTTTATCAGATCTTCAGTCTGTGCCCCACCAAGAAGATAATTTGACTTTGGCTGCACAAGGCATTGCATCTCAGTGCTCCCCTCCCTCCCCGGGGAACTGCACTTGTTGAACAGAATGCTGTAAAAGGGAAACGACTTGGCTAGGCTCTTGTCCAGTGCTAGGGTGAAGCAGCTCTTCAAAGCCATCCTTATGTTCAGAGGTTAGCTGCAAATAAAATCCACCCTTTTGCACTGCGCTGTCACAGGTGAAACAGTGACATGCCTCAAGGGTCAACGGAGAAACAGTTGCCCCAGCTATGAAACATACCTGGGCTGGTAGGATGGTCAAGGCAAACAAATCTGAGTCTGTACTGGATGCAAATCTCTCAGCTGACCTAGTTCTCATTCTCCTTTTCATTTCAGAAGCTCAGCTAAAAATCCATAAATTAAGGAAATTAACTGATGGAGCCTCTGGCATCTTTGTAAGCTATTTAAATCTTTAAATTTACAACATCTTCTGCATATATCAAGTAATTGAACTAACTGCAGGGATGTAACTTTAATGAGAAAATTTCCCTCTTCTCCTGTAGTTTGTACGCTCTCTCTCAAAATAAAAAAAATAATAATAAAAAAAAAAATAAAAACTACCCTCAGGAAAAAAAGTTTCTGTTTATTCCTGCCATGGAAGATAACTTTCAGAAACCTCAATCTGAGGGGCTTCTGCCTTCTCCACTTTGTTCCTCGATGGTGGGATTGAAAAAGAAAAAAAGAAGAGCAGTTAACCAGTTTGCAGCCTTCCCCGCTCAGCCCAAAGTGTCAGGAGAGCCGAGAGTGGCAGCCCCACGCATCAGCTCCTGTCTCTGTTGGAAGAGCTCTCGGGTGACGACAAGCACTTCTGATTTCCCTTTAACTATAAAAATGGCTTGACCTTTGCAACTACGGCAACACACAATAATAATAATTACATAACTTCTTTGCACTTACAGTTCTTTGCGGCTAGTAGGCGCTGGAGTTTTAAAATTAACCTCCTCCTGGTCCACAGAGCCTGACTTTTATTTGCAGTGTGCACACACGCACACACCCCCCCACAGCCCATCCCCAAGCTCTCGAGGGCTGCACAGCAATACCCCGCCGGAGCCATGCGGGAGGGGGGAGGTCAAGGAAAGAGCCGTCCCCAGGGCTCCGCACACAGGGGACACACGCTGCTGAAAGTTTATTGCGGGGGAAACCTCCCGTGCGTGGGGGCGGGGGGAGGAGGAAGATGCCACTTTGGGTGGCACTGCCTCAGCCACGGGGATGCTGTGCAAAACCACCGGGACCCGACTCTCTTTTGCTTTTTTTTTTTTTTTTAAAAAAAGTTTATTCGGGGGCTTGGCGAAGGGCTGAAGAGGAGGCAGAGCACTATGCCACCTGGGGCTGGCAGCCATCAAGCCAGTGACCCCCAGGCGCCCAAAGTTTGTGCGAGGTAAACTCCCCCGGGGTGGAGGCAGCAGCGGGCGGCGAGCCCCGCGCCGGAGCGGAGCCGCCCGCAAGTTTGCGGGGC